TGGCTCCCATGCCTCCGACATGTGGTCCAGGAGCAGATTTCCGAGCTATGCCGGTGCCCTTGCAGCAGCCCCCCGTCACCGCGCCTCTTACTTACGCTGAGGGCACTAAAGCGGCAGCAGCGACACCACCCCCCGTCGTTCCAGGGACTGCCGTATACCTCAGCCCTGACTCAGCCGTCCACCGCCTGGGTTCCTCCCATTGCCACCACAGCCTCGACTCACCCGTCTGCCGCATGAACTGGTCCCCTCGTCGCCAATACTTGGAGAACGCGCGATAACCGGCCCATCTGTTTTGCGTGCGGCGGCCCTGGCCATATCGCCCGTTACTACTGCCATCGTCGCGTGCCGGATACACAGACGGCCGGACAAAGAACAGCTTCATGGACCTTTCTCCATCCCGTCTGGAAAACTCTGACCCTCAGTCAAGCTCGTCTTTACGGGAATGTCCACGTACTATGTCTGGTCGCTCACCTTCACCCCGTCGTCGCTCTCTGTCACCCATGCGTCGTCGGCTAGCTCCTGAACACGAGGGAAACTAACCGCCGCAATTCAGGAGGCAAGAACTGCGCTGTCGAAATGCTCAAGTCCTCGGACATTGCCGTCGAATATTGTCGAAGTTTTTGTAGAAGGTACTCGAGCATATGCTCTAGTGGATACTGGTGCAGCCGTTTCCGTGATAGACGCTAAACTTTGCCGCAAGCTCCGAAAAGTGACGACGCCTCTTAATATGATGTCCTTGCAAACAGCGAATGGGGACCCGGTTCAGCCTGTAGCCGCCTGTACTGTCCGACTGATGATCGCGAAGGACCACTACACTGTTGAGTTTATTGTCCTGTCGTCCTGCTCACACGACATTATACTTGGATGGGATTTTTTATCGCGTAACCATGCCGTTATTGATTGTGCAAGATCAGAGCTTGAACTTTTCCCGTTTTACGACCAACCAACCAGCCGCATTCAGCCCGCCATACACAAACTCGTCGTCAAAGAAGGCACTGAAATTCCTCCGACAGCAGCTGTGTTGCTCCCCGTGTTCTGTGACGGCATTAGGAACGAAGCTGCATTCTTTGAGCCATCAAGCCTCTTCCTTAGTCGAAGATCACTTCTTCTGCCTTATTCAACCCTCTCTATTTCTGAAGGAAACAGTGCTCTATGCCTCATCAATCCCCTTCCGTATCCCGTTGAACTGTTTCAAGGTGAATCTCTTGGACACGTGCATGCCATTGATAAAGAACAAATTTTTACCATGCCGCCAGATTGTTCCGGTGACTACGACGCCATCAATGCCCTCAACCCTTCCAATATACCACCTTGTGAGCTTTTCGATTCATCGATTGCCGACGGACTATCGCCATCTGAACGCTCTGAGCTCCTTCAGCTGCTCTACCAGTTTCGTGAATCCTTTGACGTTGCTCAACCTACCCTTGGCCGAACTCCCAGTTTTTCCCACCGCATCGACACAGGTTCAACGCGCCAGTAAGACAGCGACCATACCGTGTTTCCGCCACGAAACGACAGGTCATCACCGAACACATTGACGATATGCTCAAGCGCGACGTTATCCGACCTTCTTAAAGTCCATGGGCATCACCTGTCGTTCTTGTTAAGAAGAAGGATGGTACAATTCCCTTCTGCGTTGATTACAGGCGCCTAAATAAGATCACTCGCAAAGACGTGTACCCTTTGCCCAGGATTGATGACGCCCTTGATTGCTTACAAGGTGCCGAGTTTTTTTCGTCGTTAGATTTGCGTTCGGGGTATTGGCAGGTGCCCTTAGCAGATGGTGATCGTCCAAAAACAGCATTCGTGACACCGGACGGGCTATATGAGTTCAATGTCATGCCCTTCGGCCTCTGCAATGCGCCGGCCACATTCGAGCGCATGATGAACTCGGTTCTGCGGGGTTTGAAATGGAACTTATGCCTCTGCTACCTCGAAGATATCGTCGTCTTTGCACCCGATTTCGCAACACACCTTGTACGCCGGAAACAAGTCCTCACGTGTCTCAAGAATTCGCATCTCCAACTGAATCTCAAGAAATGCCACTTCGCTGCTCGGACGCTCACCATTCTCTGTCAAGTCGTATCAAAGGATGGTGTTCTTCCCGACCCTGCTTAACTACGCGCTGTTGCTGAATTCCCCAAACTAACGACTGTAAAACAGTTACGCAGCTTCGTAGGATTGTGCTCCTACTTTCGTCGGTTTGTGCGCAACTTTGCCTCCATAATTGCCCCTTTGACCCAACTTTTAAGCAGTGCCAACGACATCTCATCATGGTCTCCCGAATGTGATCACGCATTTACCACTCTTCGCCGTCTCCTGACATCACCGCCTATATTGCGCCACTATGATCCCACGGCTGCAACTGAAATCCACACAGACGCCAGCGGTGTCGGTCTCGGTGCAGTTCTCGCTCAACGCAAGCCTGGATCCCCTGAGTATGTCGTCGCCTACGCCAGCAGAACGCTCAACAAGGCTGAGGTAACTACAGTGTTACCGAAAAAGAGTGCTTAGCCATACTTTGGGCAATTGTGAAATTTCGCCCATACTTATATGGCCGCACCTTTGCTGTAGTTACAAACCATCATGCCTTATGTTGTCATCGCTGAAAGATCCATCAGGTCGCCTTGCTCGTTGGGCTCTGTGACTTCAAGAGTATGACATCCGCGTCGTGTACTGTTCCGGCCGCCAACATGCCGATGCTGATGCGCTCTCGCGATCACCACTGTCGACTGAGGCTGCCTCTATATCTTCTATGGAACACGCGCTGTCCGCTCTTGACATCGACACAATGACCTCTGCACAGCGCGACGATCCATGGATAACTTCGCTTCTGGACGTCTTATCTGGGGTACCGACACTTCCCATCACTCGAGCATTGCAACGCCAGGCTTCGCACTTCACCATTCGAGGTGGCCTCTTGTACCGGCGCAATTACTCACCAGACGGCAGGAAGTGGCTGCTCGTTATTCCCCGAAAGCTGCGCTCTACAATCTGTGCATCATTTCACTCCGACCCGCAATGCGCTCACGCCGGTGTCTTCGAGACCTACGAGCGTTTAAGGAAGCGTTACTACTGGCGTGGGATGTTTACTTTTGTTCGACAGTTTATTCGCGGCTGCCACGAGTTTCAGCGACGAAAACAGCCACAGAATGCAGGAGCAGCTCCACTACAGCCGCTTGCGTGCTCTGACCGCCCATTCGATCGCGTCGGAATCGACCTTTATGGACCACTGCCATTGACCACAGCAGGTAACCGGTGGGTCATCGTTGCTGTAGATCACCTGACACGGTACGCCGAAACCGCTGCTCTTCCTACGGCGACCGCTCAGGACGTCGCATCTTTCATGCTCCATCGGTTTGTGTTGCGTCACGGCCCTTCTCGCGAGCTCCTCAGTTACCGGGGCCGTGTATTTCTATCCGACGTAATCCAAGCACTTCTCCGTCAGTGCCATATTGTACACCGGATGAGTACTGCTTACCACCTTCCGACGAATGGCCTGACTGAGTGGTTTAATCGGACCCTGGGTGCCATGCTCGCGACGCATGTGGCATCTGACCAAACGAACTGGGACCTGGTTCTTCCGTTTGCGACCTACGCGTACAGCACCGCTACCCAGGTCACCACCGGCTTTTCTCCATTCTACCTTCTATACGGACGTCGACCATCGCACACAATTGACACTTTGCTGCCATACGCACCAGATCTATCTGAGTGCACGACCGTGTCTGAAGCCGCCCGTCACGCCGAAGAATGCCGCCAACTAGCGAAGCAGTTTACTACGGCTGACCAGCAACGCCAGAAAAAGGCCCGCGATGACGACCACCCTCCTGCCGCCAAGTTTGCCCCTGGAACCCTTGTATGGCTGTATGTACCACCCTGTGCACCTGGTTTGTCTGCCAAGCTACTTTCAAATTACCATGGCCCATACCGCGTGGTAGAACGCACATCGCCCGTCAATTACGCCATTGAACCGCTTACGCCACCCGGTGACCATCGTCGGCGTGCACACGATATTGTTCACGTGGACCGCTTGAAGCCGTACTTCGACCCGCTCGTTCCTACTTGTTAGATTGCCAGGATGGCTTGATCTTTCTCGACGGGGGCAATTATAATGAAGGAATGATGACAGCAAAAGGGAACAGCAAGCATCATCGCAGAGTATGGCACCATGAAATCGGCGCTCGAGCTCCTCCATCTTCCTCGTCCTGTCGCTATCTCCAATCTCTCACCTGCCCGTCTGGTTCGCCCAATAAACCTCTTTACACTATTATTATTATTATTATTATTATTATTATTATTATTATTATTATTATTATTATTATTATTATTATTATTATTATTACAGAACGTTAGGCTCTTTTGACCACACAGAAATAGCCGATTTAAGTGGCTATGTACCGCCTTCGATATTACACATGTTTAGAAAAGAAACAGTGCACAAACCAGTACCGAACTCAGGTGCATTGCTTCGTGGCACGTGAGTTGACACAGAGCCGCGCAACATTTCAAGACGTACCTGCTCAGGCATCATATTGGCTGAAACATCGTGTTAACATTTTTAATAGTGCGTGGCTGAAGACTGAAATTGCAGTATGCGACGCACGATCTGAGTTGCGTGACGAGTAAGTCGTCTCAAGCTTTCTGCCAATTGCAAAGGCCTCAGCTGTAACTATTCGTCATAAGCCTCAGCATCACCAAATTGGGCAGTGTTGTAGGTGCACGAATCACCATGTGGACAATCATTGCGTACCTCACTACTTCGCAGCACAATCAAATATGGCGAAATCAACAATTTAACTTTTGGCGAAACAATCATGATATTAACGTACTGGACACCTCGCGACTCTACTTGCTGATGTCGGTTCAATAAAGTTCGTACAGGCTCTAAGATGGCCGCTGTTCTTACTTTAGATATTACTGTGCAGCGCAAAGCGCAGGCTTGGCGTCTACTTCTTTTTCCCCGGCGTATTTAGTCTTCTGTGTGTCTCTTTTTGCAGAACGATTCCATAGCTGGCAGAAATATCTGTGGACCAACACTCTACGAGCTGAACAACCACAACACCTGTGCGGCAGACATACTTGACGCATTGAATGCCACCGTAGACCTGAAAAATGAATGCGGTTTGGAAGGTTGCGACCTACTTTTGCAGCTTACCAGGTAGGTTGACTCTGGTGATCTTGTGTGTGAGTACCGTCACGCGTTATTTTCAGGAAACGTGGTGTTTTTCTAGCTCTAGATGCTCAGCGTTTGAGATTCTTGAAGAGAATCGCGTTTTGGGGCTCTGGGTTGTCACCTATCCATAGATCTCATTTGGCGTGCTCACGAATTCACGCTCAAAATAAAGTAAATAAAAGCCTGAAACAAGGCTTCCAATGCCAAACCTGGTTACAATAAATGACCAAGGTCTAAAAAATCATCGCCCAAGTATACTGTACAAATGGTTAACCAGCGAAAGCTTAAACGTGTGGCCCCGGTGTTTAGCAGTGGGTTCAACTCGACGGGGAACTGAAGACTTTCACAATTATTGGTCACATGTTCGTGCTCCTTAATGAGGTTAGACGCGCGTTCTGAAAAGTTCTGAGAATAAAAAGTGTGCATCAAACGTAGGCAAGAAGGACAGGAAAGACACAAAGTGCTGTGCTCACAAGTGAAAGCCTATTGGAAGGGAACATGAACTTGCAAGTACAAACAGTGCATATGAAGTGAGCTTGACTTCTGAAAAAAAAAATTGTTTCTAGTTATTTGTTATACAATAAAGAAATTCACGTTTGGGCAACGTGACCGAAAGTTGCCCAAATCAAGAATCACTGAACTTGCTAATCTAATAGCTTGTGAAAGTTGTCATGCAAACTGGCCATAGCGGTTTAATTCAAAGAGGCTTGAAATGGCTTTCACATTCATGTTTTTAACACATACCAAGAGCACCACGCCAATTTTATCCGAAATTAGAAGGGAAAAAAAAGAGGAGAAATCAAAGTTTGAGCTATCGCGACTTTCGGATTTACGTCTACCTCGTTTCCACTGACCTTCGTACGTGATCCTCTAACCAAGATCACTGAAACAAATATTGAACATTACGATGTCATAGCACAATCTTCAATCTGTACTCGCAAAATCTCGCGTGTTTCTCTTCTCTTAAAGAGCCTCACGTGGCCAAAATATGAGGGACGCCGTAGTTGAGGGCTCCTGCGGCGTCTCTCATAATTATATGGTGCTTTTCGGAGGTTAACGCCCACAAATAAATCAGTCAATCAATCAGTCAGGTCTGTCTTCTCGTTAGCAGAAGCTTTATTTTTGTTAGAGATATATTATTGGCTAGCTGTTTGTCGCGACGTACACTATGAGCTGACTGCGATACACCTTTGTATACTCATGTAAGCAACTTTTGTGGAACATCAAAATAATCATAGTAAGAATTTAAATATAACTGTAGTTTCCGTGTTCGCAAATACTAAGTGCTGTAATAAAAAAATGCATGGTCATTCTTCATTTTAAATCGCTATGGAGTGCATGAAGCGCTTAGGCTTCAGGGTTCGCAAGCCCTTATGGACATTGATTTTCAGCAATAAAAGTCAGTGCAGTAAGGTGCATGAAAAATATTCTTTGCTTAAGAATTGTCGTTCCATATGCTACATCAAAATTCACCATGGCAAGGTGTATATAAGGCCGGAACCATTGTTTTTGAATTAGTGACTGAGACAATGTGACCACAGTTTAAACTCACATTACGAGCTGCATTTAGTTAAAGGATGTAGGTCTTGTAGTAGCTTCCCAAAGTTCAACAATGAACTAGGATATTTGAGTACACAGAATATTTTAAACAATCAGAACTGAAGAAGCCAATGAAATTTTTTCTGCGATGGTATACCTGTGAGACTTTCTTCTAATATTATGGTGCTTACCTCACCTTTCGGTCGTTAGGAGCAGCCCCTGGTCAGCCATAGTTCCTAATCAATCGCTCCTGGTTCGTTTTAAGCACACCTTTTTTTTCCAATAAGATTTTCTCGTGACTAATAACTTGCGCTATCAACATCTTTGTTTTCTACTTCTTGTATTGCGCTGGGAAGCGATTGCCAAAAACAGCTGCAATGTTTGATCTCTGGCAATAATGAAGATACAGGTGAGGACACTAGTGTTGAATAACAAATATAGAATCTGTACAATCAACGAGTACTACATGACAACAAATAGATCATGACAACGGGATCACTTTCGAGATTTATTTCATCTGCAGCTCTATTTTCATGCTTTCGTGCTTTTTTCAGCTTTCTATTTTTTCAAGTGTGACAAGGTAAATACTTTTTTCTTTCTTAGAGGCAACCTTGCGATGGAGATCAACGGCACATGTATCAACAGGAAAGTTGAAGGTAGGTACTCCTCAATACAAGACATACCAATAAAAGTAATCATAAAAAAATCACTGCGTGTCAGAAAAAGTACAACAAACAAATAGCATCCACAAGAGACATGTGTGTTGCCACTATTCTTGCGCCCAGCAAGTCATTATTATTATGCACCATTTCCAATTTAGAGTCTCTGGAAAAGTTCAACTAGCAATAAAAATACTTGCTGAATCGGCTGTAGTGAAGGCTTGGCGTCATGGTCACCATCCACTCTCCTCGCCGTAGCGCTGCGTAAGCTCCGTGACTCTGTTGCAAATGACTCTGTTGTGGAAAAGCGTGGCAGGAAACCAGTTTGACACGTGGAAGAACTTCAAAGCTGCGTTCGAGAACCAGTTTGGGAACAAGCTTACGCTCTTGCAGTGGCAGCACATAAACATCAGATGCGTCCAGTCACCCAGTGAGAAGCTCGTTGACTACTCGGCGAAACTGTGCATAACTTCACAATGTCTCTTCCAACTGGCAGATCCTCAACGCATTGTAGAGAGCACTACAGGGTGTGCGCAACGCACATTTAGCAACAACTATCACTGCATAACGGCCACCAACTTTTACTTTATTTCTGTCCATCGTCACCCAACTCGACCGATCTTTAGAGCACACCTCTGTTTTCCAAAGTCAGCCAGTCATTGCAAACAGAACATACACATCACGAGTACCTGCCATACCTGTACAGAAGATTGATAATATGAACGACAGATCTTCGTCACCAACCATGCCGGCTCAGTAACCAGTCTCATGTAGCATTTCCTCGTTACCATAGGAAGAGCGAAGCAGTCGTTACTCTGCAATCAGCTCTAGAAATGGTGCATGACCTAAGCAAGACCACATGCAGTCACTGACGGCAAACTAGCCATCTTGTAACCAAGTTCCCTCGTTCCAGATACAATACTGAGGAACGGCAAACGAATCTTCCTTCCATGGCCTGATTTCAAGCTTCAGAGCCACTAGAAAAACGATTTGTGCAGTGTGCCGTAATTCAAGCCTACATTCCACTTGTAGACCCTGTTGATGCGTTTCAAGATAGTGGTTCCGAACACACAATGCTTTCGCTGAGTGTTGTTGGATTTTCGAACCTTTTAACATGGTCCAAGCCTTCCATATTTGTTGTAGGCGGTAGTTCCGTCATGGCAGTTGGTAAATTATGCACTCGCATCGCTGTGGGGCCTATTCCTGCAGTCATTGAGGTTCTAGTTCTGGCCAGAAACCCCTTGCTTTCGATCCTGAGAGAGGACTGGTTTGAAGCCGCTCACGCTGAGCTTATCGTCCAGCCACCTCACTGAACAGAAATTCGCCATCCCAGAACGGTTATTGTTATGCAATGCCTGGAGAAGCCGCTGCCAAGAATTTACAATAGCTCTACGCTTTTTTTTTTACACAGGCAACGTCTGCTGCAGCCTGTTCGCCGTTTTCACCCTTGCCGCACAAACCCCAGCACACATGCTTATTCCTCGAACCAAATGAAGGGTTACCTAATGAGATGCCGCGTGAACCAAACACGGTGGAACTTTACTTGAACGATACTACGTTGGAATTGCCATGGCCGCAAATACGTGATGCCCACGTAATTCCTCAGTTAGAACAAGAAGTCACTGCCGTTCAACAGGTGTTGCACCAGCGTGTAGATGTGTTTGCCACTGATGACAATGACCTGAGGCTTGACAGAAGTACTGACCACTCAAATGATCTTTTGCCAGATGTATTATTATACACATGTTGCCTGCATATATCCAGCAAAGAGGAGCGCGATTTCATCCGAAGCCAATCTCAAGAGCTTCATGCTAAGGACTCAAGCGTCAAGACAGGATGGCTGGACCCGGGACATTGCCAGAAAGTTAGCCAACCACCGCAAGTCAATCAATTGAAAACGAAGAAACGAAAGTATGCCCATGCAAGCATGTACTCGGCCGTACTACTAGCACGTATCAATTCTCTTAATTAGAACCCAACCGCATCTCAATTCTAAGATTGAGCCTATTCGAGATAAGGGACCAGCAGGTGGTGTGCGCAAGGCCAAGAAACAAGCCATAAAGCCAGCTGCTGAACTACACAAAAACAAGCGACACAAGTCAAGTCAAGACAGTCCTGCCATCAGCTGCAGACAGGCACACAGACAGGCACACCCCGCTGCAGCTGCAGACAGCTGCAGACAGGCACACCCCGCTGCAGCTGTCTTTTATCGTGACAACTGCGTCGTCTACAGTAATCTTGAACTGACTGACTCGTCAGCTGGCACAGAAGTATGTCCCAAGGTTGAAAAGTAAGAGGAAGAGGTTTATATATATATATATATATATATATATATATATATATATATATATATATATTATATATATATATATATGTAAGGTTGTATATATAATTACGTACTACCACTTTGGTTTGCAAGCGAAAATAGACAGAACAAAGGAACTGCGAGTAAAGGTCGGAAACAAAGAAACAAAGTCTGTAAAAATACCGACAATATATATATAATATATATATATATATATATATATATATATTGTTTTTCGGTTACCATTGAGGGCTTCAAGTTTAGTTGGGTCGTTCCACTCGCGCACCACTTGTCTACAGCGAACGTTAATGGTAATACACGTCTCAAACCCTTAGATAGTCTATAGGCGGCCCTTTCTGGCATGGCTCTTTCTTTCGCCACGCTCTGTTTGTTGGCTCACCGTGCTAGGAGAAAGAACCGCCGACAAACAAAGCGGTTCTTGTTAACCCACTCGATAGCGTTTGTGACTTGTGACATCACCCAATCTCATGTGCGACGTCAAGAAACACACTAGGAGTATCGGAAGTAGCGGAGAGTTAAACCGACCTATTAAATGGCGGAAACGCACGAAAGGCAGCGTGGGAGAGAATGTTTACGGCTTTTTGCCTAGCCCCGTCAAGCAACCGGAGCGAGGCTCCGATATCATAGCTCCGAGTGAGCGCCTCTCCACGGTAGATCACGTGCCCTGATGTCATGCTTGCCAATCCAGAGCTCCTGCCACTCGCGCTGAAGGCCGTTGCGACGTGATGGGTGACCTTGAAATAGGTGGCGCTGAACAACTCTCGCTCAAAATTTTATGGGGTCGTTGAGAACATTGCATATCGAATTGCATACGCAGCACCCAACATGGCGACTTTCGTTGCGCCGACATGAAGGCCTTCACTGACACTAGAGCAGCAACTGGGAACTTTGACTCTAAGGGCGTGGTATTCTTTTACTTCAAAACCTCGGCAGAGATCAGCAGACGGCTCGTACACCCTTATACGTGGGGTGCTCTCAACGCGACGAAACTGTTAAAGGTAGTTTCCAGCCTGGAGCGGCCTTTCTCTTTCACACCGACGTTTTGTATAGTTATTCGTGATCGGATCCAAGAGTGTTACCTGCCAGCTTTACTTCGTTTAACTATACACTTTGTTTCTATCCCATTAATTTCTACGCTATTGCAGAAAACGTTTTTTTAATGTCAATGCTCTAATCGTGCAGGTGTGACTCATTTGGGCGGAGCGGTGCGAGAAGAGGCAGCAAAAAAGGGGCAGGAAGTGGAATTCACGCGCCTAGCAAGTCGAACAACGTCAGACAGAGCACCAGCAGAAACGTTGGAACAACATCAAGGCACGCAGAAAGGCCAAATCTTCGGACGAAGATCGGGAGTTTTAAGAAGGACCCCATCTTTCCAAGATTCTGGGAACATAATGGTGTTTTCGTTGCTGCTATACTACGAAGCTTGAGAAACAAAAACGGGGTTGGGTGTGATCTGAAAAGCCCATTGACCATTTTGAAAAATATAGGGGTCGGATGGGAGACTGCACGTAATATGGCAGCCTTGTGCTCAATGTTGAGCTAGTCGAGACGCGGTTTCGTTGTGTGTTCCTAAACACGTGTGCACCACGACTGCATTGATGCCGTAGCTCCTGTTGATTAAATCGCTTTCGCCGCATCATCTCCTTGTTTACGTCGCCAAGTCCTCACAATGAAAATGCACATTTGGGAGGAGGGCACGGCATCCGAATGTAGTAATTATAACTTCGAGCTTTCTGGACTGACTCCACTGAGGTTGCCATAAAAACTTGATGAGATTTCATTCTGTCCTTGTACTAATTTTTTCTAGCGTATCCGTGCCAATTCCTGATTTTCTCTATCTCATTGTGGTTATATATTCTTCTTCTGGACGAATGGATATTAATGGGCCATCAAACGATGCTAGTGCTATGCAATCGGCTAGCTCATTCAATCTTGATCCCGACTGACCTGAGGCCCACAGTATCTTTAGGTGTTTCAACTGAGGTTGCGCCTATGCTAGGAATTTCCTTAAAATTCGAATGTTTTCACAAGCTGTAAAAGCTGCACACACTGAAAGGGAATATGTTATTAAGACTGCTCTGTTTTCATTTGAAAGAAGTTTCGAAAGTCCTAAAATATTTACCTCAAGCACAGCTTCAAAAACTGAAGTAAAGACAAGCAGCCTCACTGAGAAGCACCAGTGAATCAAATAAGAGTAAATTCCTACAACTGCCTTTTCATTGTACATAGAATTGTCTGTGGCTACTATAATATTTCTTTCTTCATTAACAAGGTAATCTTTTAATGGAAACACCGGTGCCCTTCTCTGTCATCTCTATCTCTCTCTCTCTCTCTTTATATATATATATATATATATATATATATATATATATATATATATATTGTGGGCATTTAGTATACCAATCCTCTTCATCTGTAAATTATCATCATTATCATGAGTTGCTCATGCATCCTCATCGTTGTCACGTAGCATCATCATCTTGGTCCGTTCATCTCAGCTGTCGGCTGCCGGTTCTTCGGGCCTAATAAAGGTCTTCTAAACCAAGACTTCATAATATATATAATTTTGTACTACCTCCTTAGTTTGCAAGCGAAAAGAGACAGAAAAAGGAACTGCGAGTAAAGGTCGAAAAAAAAGAAACAAAGTCTGTAACAAACCACCAGAATATATACATACACACACACACACACACACACTCACATATATATATATATATATATATATATATATAATATATATATATATATATATATATATATATATATATATATATATATATATATATATTGTTATTCAATTACCATTGAGGGCTTCAAGTTTAGTTGGGCCGTTTCCACTCGTGCACCTCTAGTCCGCAGCGAACGTCAATGGTAATACACTAATCTATAGGTGGCTCTTTTTGGCATCGCTATTTCTTTCGTCACGCTCTGTATGTTGGATCGCCCTGCTAGGAGAAAGAACCGCCGACAAACAAAGCGGTTCTTGTTCGCCCTCTCGATAGCGTCTGTGGCTTGTGACATAGCCCAATCTCACGTGGGACGTCATGCAACACACTAGGAGAATCGGAAGTAGCGGAGAGTTAAACTGAACTACTCCATGGGGGGAACGCACGAAAATCATAGTGTCAGGGAATGTTGATGATATTTCACCTAGTCACGTTAAGCAACCGCAGTGAGGCTCCGATATCATAGCTCCGAGTGAGCGCCTCTCCGCGGTGGATCACGCGCCGTGATGTAATGCTTGCCAATCCAGAGCTCCTGCTCTCGCGCTGAAGGCCATTGCGACGCGATGGGTGACCTTGAACTCGGTGGCGCTGAACAACTCTCGCTCGAAAATGTATGGGGTCGTTCAGAACATTGCATATCGAATCACATACGCAGCACCCAACATGGCGACTTTCGTTGCGCCGACATGAAGGCCTTCACTGACACTAGAGCAGCAACTGTGAACTTTTACTCTAAGGGCTTGGTATTCTTTTACTTTAAAACCTCGGCAGACATCAGTAGACGGCTCGTAAACCCTTATACGTGGGATGCTCTCAACGCGAAGAAACTGTTAAAGGTAGTTTCCAGCCTAGAGCGACCTTTCTCTTTCACACCGACGTTTTGTATAGTTATTCGTGATCGGATCCAAAAGTGTTACCTGGAAGCTTTACCTCAGTTAATCATACACTTTGTTTCCATTCAGTTCATTTCTACCCCCTTGCGGTGAAAAGTTTTTTATTTGTAATCTTTAACGCTCTAATCGTGCAGGTGTGGCTAATTTGGGCGGCGTTTGCACAAACTACAGTGCTGCAGTTGTAGAAGACGAGCCACTGCTCTACAGCGGAGTATCTACGATGACTCATGAGATCGCTCATGCGTATGTTTGTTTTTTCGCATCTTAAGTACATGCTCTGGTAGCATAAGCAGGGCTAGTATTTTCATCAAAAAATTCGACATGCCTTTTTCAAGGCATTTCAGCTGTGAACTGTTATATCTGTGATGTGAAGGTCACCAACTTGAAAATGCCCTTTATTTGCTTACAAATAACTTTTCTTTGTGAAGTAACACAAGATACAGTGCTCGTCAATATTCATAAATAATTTTTTCGCGTTTAAAAAACTATTCAATGTTTCCTCAAATAGTGATTGAAAAGGTGTGACTGTATTAGTCTGCGGCGTTCTACGAGACGTTTGTGTAAATACAAATTTAGAGACATCCCTAAATACCCTTCAAAGTTCGTGACTGAAGGATTTAATCCAGTGCAACTTCTTTCTCATGCAACACTTACAACGTCTTAAAGTTCCAACAACTGTGGGCCATCCAGTCAGCCCGGGAGACCCTTGGAGACAGGATTTCTCCATCGCCCGTGACGAGGCCTAGGCCGGGGCCTCAGTCCTCTGGTTTCTTCAGAAAACTTGCTTCGCTCGCTCGCTCATTCACTTCCTCAATCACCTATTCACTCTTAACACCACTGTGTCATATTTTTTAAGTGATTCATGTCACGCGTTGTCACTCAGACATGCAATTACCGTTACAGTGAGGCTGCCTTGTAAAGAACCGTGAACCTCTGTTGTGTGAGTTCAGCTGGTTCTTTTGATTTCGTTTTTGTGAGCTAGCAGAATTTTGGTTCACATCAGTTAGCTTAAACATGCAGCTCGGAGTATATGTCTATAGGTCTACTGAGTTTATGGGCCAGCAGAAGTTAAACGCTGTGAATGTGCTCGAGTTGGGCACATTACCGAGCGTTAAGACGTGCTCAGTAATAGAAGATTCCGATGGACCAGGTGACGTAGGCTTGTTTTGTTGTTCCTGAGTTTTTGATGATGCTCGGTAATAATATTATCGGGGGGTTTTACGTCCCAAAACTATGATATGATTATGACGGACGTCATAGTGGAGGGCTCCGTAGTTTTGACTATCTGGAGCTCTCTATCGTGCACTTACATCGCACAGCACATGGGCTTCATCCATTTCGCCTCCATAGAAATGAGACCTCTACGGCCGAGATCGAATCTGCTTCCTTCTGGTCAGCAACCAAGCACCATAACAACTTCTTCGCCAAGCTTCAGTGATCGTGCTCGAAGTTGCCGAGAGTAACAGTATGCTTGTATAGAAAGAACACGCCTTCAGGTATCCTCTGGTGCCAACGTAGAGGCAATATTGAAAAAAATAAGTCAGTAATGCCTAATGAAGTGAATAGGAGAAAGGTCAGCCTGAAAAGCGTCTCCAAAGCCTGCTTCTCGTGAATGGTGTACGATGAAATGGTGTAGTCACAGACAGAAAAATGGTAGCACGTGATTGCGCTTTGCAGTGACTTAAAGTACGTTTGTCATGTTTGTTCATATGTGCATGTGCACTGCGGATTAAGTACAGCATTATTTACGTAGCACGCGCTATAGTACTTAGGAACTGCCATGTTTTGCTTGGCTCACTCAAGTTCAACAAAATGTTAGCACGCGTTGTCGGTGGCTAACATGCTCGTGTGACGAATATTTTTTTGTCCGGAAATTACCCAAAGTCCAGGCAACGTACGTACATTAATTTACATTTGCTTAGGCACATACTGCACACGTCCGCAGATCATGTGCTGCATATCGTCAAGCATCTACGGCAGCCATTAGTATGGCTGGGTGAAATCACTTTTAATGCTAAAACACTAGCACTTACAGTTTAAAATAAGACCGTTCATTTCGAGACCCATGTGGTGCTTCCTTTATGGTTTGTCTGAAGCGGCCGTCCAGGTGGGGCCGTTTTCGCAGTTAAACAATTTCTCTCTATCCCATGCGCTATTCGTCCGGTTCGCGTCCGTATCGTGGACAGTCAGAAGCATGGCCAGTACCTATAGCTCTTGCAGGCCACTCTGTCCCCCGCAATCATAGTGGTTACGTGTGGCGAATAGTAAGGTTGAAGGAGAAGAGTGTTGAGGTGGCACTGCAATCGGCATAGTGTGGTGGCGCTGAAATATGACGTAGAGCTCGGAGAGGAACTGGAGTAGGTGATAGGGCACAGGGCACTCACGCTCGAGTGACGAGCGGTGCTCCAGATCACTGTAGTGGAAGGTTGTCTATAACATGAACGTCAATATAGCTTTGCCGGTCCTCTACTTTCACATGAATCTAGCCGCCCGCGCTTTTCTTTCTCTGATTCCCTCTGTTCCTCCCTTACGTCGCGTCGAGAAGGCCGTGCGCATGTAAAGTGGCCAATGTACCCAACTAGCAGTTCGATTCATCCAGTATTCGACTATACCAAGGTGTAAGAATATTCAGGTGTTGACACTCGCTGCACCTGAGTGGCCAGATAATGTTCGGTCTCGCGGGAGCAACGTGCCGCAAGCCGTCAAATAGTGCCGCGGTCAACGTACCCAGCAAAATGGTGCTCATTCATTTAAATTCTTGTTTTTTGAAAAGTTTTCGGCCGGGAAACCACGCCTAATACTTCTAAGAAGTGTACCAATCAAGGTGGGAAGTGCTGTGCATTCCTCAGCTACTACGACTCTCACGGTCGGTAGAGTTTCCCAGTTTCTAAGACTTTGTGGCCGGACCGTGCCACCGCTGTGCTAGCTAGGCCTTAGTGCGCGCTGCACGGCGCTTCCGCGGAAGGGTCGGCGACTGCTCTCGGCAAGTCAGCGATGGCGGAGATGATTGTGGAAGGAGTGGATTTGCCCCCCGAAGAGTTTACCGAAGAATATAGCTGTAAAACAGCATCTTCAAAGAGGACAAGTGCCGTAGCCGACAGAGTTAACCACCACGCAAGTGCTTCGAGTCAGAATGGGCATTGCGTCAGCAGGGCTCCCAGGATGAAGATGGGTGGCCATAAATAAAAAAAAAACGCGAGGGCGTATCGGATGCCACCGTTGCTGAATGAATACATAAAGTTCTGATCAGACCAAGAGGAGGACTTAACCAAGACAGGGCCCACCGTCATTGGAAGGGCTATCGTCGATGTGGCAAGACTCAACCCGTCACAGACCAACTAAGACGTAATCTGTCCCACCTAACTGCGAAATATTATGGTTTCTGGCACTCCTGAGAGGCAGAACACGGACAAATAGTCCTGAATCAGTCTAATTCAGGTTGGAGACAAGGACTTCGAAGTCGACGCGTACGAAACGGCTCCACACAGAACGTGCAAGGGTGTCATACGCAACATTGATATCAGTGATGGTCCAGTAGTCCTGGAAAGTCACACTGTCAACGACACAAATCCACTAGCCCTCTCTGTATCGACCATGCAGGGCACTTCCGGAAGTTCAGCAATAAGGTTGGAATGGCTTCTTTGGCACGTCTAGCAGCACTCTCCCCTTGAACTTTGCGTAAAATCTCGTGGAATTCATATCCTCTATAAAATTCCTGCCGAAGGCGTGGTCCGTAAGCATTAAATTTCGGTCTGCCCTTGGTGTTGCACGACGCTACCATTGACGCAGACGATCACTGTCAGGTGGCACTTAGATGTGAGGCACATGCTCTGCACCAGTTCGATAGCCCGAACGGCCATTCGGTACAAAACAAGTTCTACCCATTGCCGGATCATTTCAGCAATTCAACGTCACCTACATCAATACAATGCATTAAACGCACGCGCACAAAAAAACATGGTTGCTAAACAGCGTGGACACACATGCCAGCAGCAAGACTCAGAATGAGCGGCATGCGCATTTCTGACGAGCGTGCTGCCAAGATGGCTGACCCTACTCGTCGTAGAGCCATCTAAGAAGGCACCGATGAAGTTGCCAGATAACTGATAACGGACCTAACATTATCTGGACGCGCAGGCATTGCGCTTTTCAACAAGCTGCGGGGAGAGTGTCAGCACCTGTCTATTCTTACACTGTGGACTAGACTACTCAACAGGATCATACGTGCCCCAATAACATCAAGGTTAAAGTAACTCCAGCATTAGTGCAAAGGTTCTACGGTTTTAATGGTAGCATATGACTTCCACATGTCCCCGACTGTCTAGGAACTGCACACCTTGTACCACTCCTATCAAAGTCTGTAAGCGAAGTAAGTGTTTTGAACTTTTACACGCTACAATGGCTCACTGTGAATAAATAATGAAGTGCTCATCTCATTGTGTCCGACACTATACACTCATATAAGCTACAAGGAGGTGAAGTAGAGACACATAATTTTCATAAATAGAAGAACAATGCTAAAACCAGGCAAGCTAACACAGGGAGCGGACTGAAGTAAAACATGTTTTGCCCACATATTTCACGTCCTTCAATACAGTGTTTATGCGAAGTGTGCCTTGAGACATTCACCGTGAACAGGCTTTTTTTTCGCAGACTAGGGGCGAGCCATGACGACGAAAATCTAACGCTTCCCATCGAAGGTTATCCCGATGCGCTTCACTGTTCATGGAATGATGGATACTTGATGAGCACAGCACCCCATGGAAAGAACATGCATAAGCTTTCAAATTGCTCAATGGCTCAAATCAAAGTTTTTGTCTGGTAAGTGAAGACACTTCAATATCATGAGCTTATGGGCCGGGCAAGAACTGCTTTATAATGTTTCCAGGCATTTTCTTCAATGAACCTCGAGTATGCAGGTTTGATTCTGCGCTCCGCCAACCGGGCATCGGTAGAGGTGCCTTTCTAAGTAGTAGTCCGGACTATGCGATAGACAGGTAGTGACTGCAATGAAGTTGATGTATAGTATACGACGAATTTTCGCAGGCTGGTGATGAAACAAAAGAGATATGGTTGAAACAATTTGGATAATGACAAATTGATGAGGGCTACTTCGTTAATAATTTGAGCAGAGGTTGTAACAATGCGGAGCGAGTATTTGTAATATCACCAAGATGTCGGGGTGGCATTCCCCGATGATACCTCTGCATCAAGTCACGAATTGGCTGCATCATGGAACACATATTTGATTAGTCGTGGGCAGATTAAACTTGATGGCAGGGCAACACCACCTAACACCATAGCAACATGCTGTGCAGAACCACCATGTTGTGTGATTGTGGTACCCAGTTGCGTACCTTGGGGCATTACCTAGTGCGAAGAAGGTTATCGGGCTCAAACCTTGAAGTATGTACAGTACTCGCGGATTGAAACAGGACACTCGGAGCGTGGGGCCGCCGGCACATGTGCTGCCGCTCGTGGGTGCTCGTGCAACCAAGGTGTTCCATTGTGGCACAGAGTGAGGGGAAAAGCACCAACAGAGCAGGATTACTCTTTGTGGTTACTGAAGAGTCGACATTTAGTTCACAAGCTGCACACTGCCAGCATGGCGCTGCAAGACTAGCGCGTGTTCCCTTGCCGCCCGAATAGGCTTCGTGGTGCGCGCCATTTATACCGCGGCCCCAGCAGCCGACACTCTCGTTCTGCGCCTTTCAGGTTGCGCCACGCATACTGCGCAAGTGAGAAACTGGATTCAGCTAAAACGTGTTGACTGACGTGTGTTCATAAACGTGATAATTAGGCTGCACAAAAGCATATAAAGTTTGTCGTGCTTCTTCTTTCGACTGAAATGAGAAGTAGTAGTCACTGGCCTGTTCTTGTGCAATATTGAAACAATGCCTTAGTATTTGGCTGTTTTGCCCCGAGCAACCAGTTAGGTGGCTATTCTGCGTGGGAAACTATCGTATAGCTATCAGCCATGGAAGAACGAGTCAGATTCTGCCACTTTTATCCAACGATACGCCCAAGTATGCCCGATGGACACTAATACAATATATTGTTGCTTGTTGCATGAACGCAGGCTTGCTACTAACTTTTATGACATGACAGAAACCACAAAGTAAACTTTCTGTGCTTCTATTGAAATGTTTATCGTGTCTGCGAGCGCATTCAAGGCGCAATCTTCTAGCTGAATCATGCGTAGTACTTGCACACAATGTGTACCGCATCATCTAAGCGCGCAGGACGAGAGGGTTGTTGGCTGGCGCCGCAATGTAAGTGGTGCGCAGCGGCGAACCAGTTAGGTCGCCCACCGCGGGGATCTAGTGGCTAAGGTACTTGGCTGCTGACCCGCAGTTCACGGAATCGAATCCCGGCTGCGGCGGCTGCATTTTAAATAGAGGCGGAAATGCTGTAGGTCCGTGTGCTCAGATTTGGGTGCACGTTAAAGAACCCCAGGTGGTCGAAATTTCCGGAGCCCTCCACTACGGCGTCTCTCATAATCATATGGTGGTTTTGGGACGTTGAACCACACATATCAATCAAATAAACCCCACATATCAATCGAACCAGTTTGGCGCACATGCGAATGTGCACGTGTGCGTGAGCTCGCAGTGCCACACTGTCAGAGTGCACTTTGTGAACTAAATCCCGTATTTTTTTAGGGACCGGGAATAGTAATCCTGCTCCGTGGGTGTTTTCCCCCTCACTGTATGCCACAATGCAACACCTTGGTTCCACGAGCACCTAAGGGCGGTGGCACATGTACAGGCGGCAAGACGCTCCGAGTGTCCTGTGTTAATCCATCAGTAGAGTACCAAGTGTCACCACGTTTTGGGGACGAAGCTGTCGAAGCTCAACTTAGTTTGTGTGTTGGAAAAAAAAAACATTACGAACCGGCACGAGATCACCACATTCGTGCCTTCATCTTCATCTCCTGCTGCTTCATTCATAGAACAGGTGTGCCGATTTTCCCTGCTTGGCAATTTAGAACTACGCTTGGCGAGATGACGAGTAAACAGAAAGAGAAAGAGAAAAAATAGAAAATAATCTTGGCGGGAAATTCTTCACGAAACTCTTCAAAACTCTCTGATAAGGTGTGCAAAAGTTTACACCTTACTCCGCCTGGCAGGCACTCTAGCAGAGCCTAGCATAGTCCTCTGTGGTGTAGTGCAGCAAGGGGGGTGAATTGGAAGAGGGATAAGGATAGATATCATGGTGAGAATGAGAAAAAAGAGAAGGGGGAGAGCAAAGCATAGTATGGTAATATTGAAAAATACACAAGCAGACAGAGGAAGAAATGGCTGGTAGATACAGAGGAAAGATTTATTTAAAATTAGAAAAATACAGGAAGAAAGAAAGAAAATTAGCAAAACTTAGCTTAACAAAAGCTATGAGCATGGCGTGCCATTATATTTTCAGTGAAGTTCCAGAGCATATTTACCACCCTTTCATTGCGGGTCTGTGATGTCATGTAGACCCATGTTCCTCTCCTATGTGATTACGTAGTAGAAACATTCCTTATTATCTTGGGTCAACTTGACGCCTCATCATGAAATCAGTGCTCGCAGCAGAATTAAAGGCGAAAATGGGAAAGACTGCTTTACCAGCTGTGTCAGTCACGCTTGACTTGGTCATTTTACAAGCACTGCAAGATTACGAAGTCTCGTATAACTGTTACAAATGGGTTATAGCCCTCATTTTTATTATTTTTATCTTTGTCTGCCGAATGTCGACGTATTATGCACCTCTTTGTTTTAATGTTTATACATATTGGTCTGTACGAAGTCGCACACTGCGGGGGCCGGTTAGGTTTTGGTATGGTTTTGGAATGAATATGATTCGGCCACGTCTCCAACATCTAGGGAAGTGCCCGAGCCTCAGTGCCATGTTAAGGACGCAAATTATTTAAATGCACTCAATGTAAGCGCGCATGCCTGTGTTTTTCAATGTGTGCAATGTCAAGTGTTTATGCCTCTGTTCACTGTATGTCTAAATTTTGTAATGTACTTCTCGGCCGTTTTATTTTTTGTTAGAATTTCAACATGGCACTGTATGTTGTCTTGTAAACCTGTGTTCCAATATTTGTAAAAAATACACCCTTTGGGGGTGACAGTATTATTAAACAAAGCAACAAACAAACGCAAGTAACAAGAATGTTATATTTTTCCTTACGCAGCACTTTGCCGCAGGCTTGCATACAGGTCCATACAAAAGCCGACTACTCGAACAAGTTTTATCCCGGGCAGAACATGACGCCAGACACATTTTGTCAAAACAAACATCCAGAACATCAGGACGTAGAGGCACAAAACGTAAGTGCTCATATCGATGTCTTATTACTACATATTTATTTTATTATAACGCCAGACGTTTTTGCCATTTTCGCTACTTGAAGTCGACCTTCGTGCTTAAATCCAATATCGAAGTTCAAGTTGTGTCAAAAGTTAAACATTTACCACCATTATTCCGTTTCGGTTTTTTTTTTCCTGGACCTGATAGGAAGTCACCCTAACAATACCCGGGGTTTAACGTCCATAAATCAGGATATGATTACGAGAGACGCCGCACCGTAGCGGAGGGCTCCGGAAATTTAGACCAGCTGGTCGTCTTTAACATGCACCTAAATCTAATTTCCTGAGCCTCAAACTCTTTCACCTCTACTGAAAATGCAGCCGGCGAAGCCTGCAGGAAACACCTAGTCTTTTGCGTTACCATCGTGGTCGCGTAATAATCGCGTAAATACATTATTTTTATTTCGGATACGTACTGCCTTGTAAATTGATGCTTGCGTAATTGTTTCGAATTCTCACTTTCAATGGCATAAGTGCCTACTAATACGCACAAGCGTTAAACGTTACAAGTTTCATCATCCTATAAAGGCGTGGTATTTTAGTCTGCCAAAGAAACTGTTTTCACAAAAAGACTGATTCCGCCGCGTTAAAAGCTTGTATCCTACAAGCTTTTAACCACTGCAACCTAATAGCTTATATTTAATTCATAGCACGATTAAAACATCTCAAGTAATAAAGGAAGCACGTTCTGAAAGGATGGTAACACATCCTTCTTCAATTCAATGGCTGTATCACTCACCTTTTCTTTAGCAGCCCTTCTTAACAGCGGAGTTGTTTAGGCCAGCCATGATCTGTCCAACGCGAATACTAAAGAGTGCCGCACAGAGACACCACGTGTTGCCTAACAACCGATGGCACAGCTGTTCTGGCTCGCTATCCCTTACACTGTTCCGCCTCGAGCCCACTGGCTTGGACAGAGTTCGCAACTCACTTAAAAGTCTAGGGACTTTACGCGTAGCAACATGGGCAAAACGGATGTCAGGACCAACTGTGCATGCGCTCTTACATTACGTATAAAGCCAGAGCGTGGTGGCATAGCTTTTACCCTAAATTAGTTAGCCTTACCCTATTGTAGCCATTCTTCGCGTATTATCCGAATGACGGACATATGAACACTTCTGATTGCCTCTTTCTATCTGGGTCGCCGCTGCCGTGGTCGTCATCTTTTCTATATGCACTGTTTAAATGCGGGATTTGATCCAACAGCAACACCAACGCTGGACTCGTGCTTGTAAACACTGCCGCCTCTGTGGACGGCTGGTCACGCTGCCTTGCCGCTGCTAAACATAACGTCCTCAGACTCCTAATATATCTCTTCACAGCGTATGCGTTTTTATAGAGGAAACACAGTTCAAAAGAATTGTTTCCCGTAGTGCGCCACCGAGTATTTGAATGTACGACCCCTCACTTTGCAGCGCGCGCCGTGTTAAACGGCTCAGTCATGAACCATAGGTACTTCAGCATACGTACGGTGAGCCATTTACACAGATCATTTACCGCCTGGCATTATGCAGAACTCAAAAAGGCTTCAGCGTGTTCTCTGTACCACCAGCGAGTTGGCGCGAAGGGTGCACTTTCAAAGTCGTCGTCCTGCTCGTTCTTCCCTGGAGTGGCGATGCGTGAGCGTCTTTTCGCTGTACCACCTGCACTTTGCCCCACCAGAACGTGGTCAACCGTGTGCGTGGGCTCATATCGTGAGAGGCTGGTATGTACATAGTCTGATGTTTCCACCACAAAGTTTGCGTTGGAGCTGCCCAGGCAGCGCACGAAGGTCACTTCACTCGCTGTAGCCACCACGTTTGTGAAAGAAATGAGCTGCTGGGTGTTACGAGCTGCTGCTCTGAGACGGGGAATCGATGCCGACGCGGTAGATAATCAGATAATCAGATTACCTATATGCTGAAGCTTTGTTTACTAGAGAGATCGTGGGAACGCTTCGTGCAGCCGTCTTTCATCACGCGTACCAATTGACCGAGCAGCACTCAGCAAAACTTGGAAACGCCTAGCCCAGCCAGGATCTTCTAAATACACACTGTTCAATTCAGTTTCGATTTCATTTATTTTCTTCAATCCCCAGGGGGCACATTTATTCATTGCTAGAAAAACCCATGTACAGTCGACCACAAAAGTTCACAGACCACACGAGCGCGCGCCAAACTGCTTTTACGTGGCACATAGCGGTACACCATTTACCCTCGACCACAGCGCAGGGCCGAAAGTGGATCTTGTTGGAATATTCATCTGGCCTTTCATTTTTCTCCTGTCGCACTGCATATTGTTACTTCACAGGTTTCACACAAAATCTGTCTGCCCCACAACCGTCACACTTCTGCTTCGATAGCACAATCAGATATCGCGACGTGCTTCGAACGGCGTATGGTTGGGTATATTCGGTTGGGTATAGTTCGCAAGAAAGGTTGTTACTGATAACAGCCATGCCGAATGACTGCTCTCGAGAAAGAAGTAAGTAAGGCTTACCGAAGAGTGCGTCGGGTTAAAATGTAAAAGGTGATAAATGTTTGCGTTCAGTCATAAAACAGAATGGCTATCGAATTAAGGAGGGATGTGTCTAGGCCGCTGCGCTCCTGTCAATTGGCGCTGGCGTAGCGGCAATGTCGCGCAGAGGCTCCTGGCCACAGGCTCGCGTGCTCCGTAAACATCTCTGGTTTACAGTACATTGTAAGTAAAGGGTTTTGTCTCTTTCACTGCGCTGGCTGGAGGCTGGCTTCCTTTTTCAGACATTACATTGGCGACGAGGATGTTGTAAACACACTCAAGCAACTGCGAGTGCGTCCCGTTCGCGCCACCTCGACACGAGTTGCCCCGGACTCGCTCCGCCACCGTTTTTCATTGCGACGCCCGACCGACCGCCACTGCCACGGCAGCAGTGCGAGAAGATGCTCAACGAGTACCAGGGGGTGTCCGGGCCCGGCGAATTCACGCCAGACTGACGGAAGGCCGTCCTTTTGCATTGTTTGGGGGTGCATAGGCCTGCCGCGGCCACTTCTGGCGAATACAACACTACACCCAGGAATTACGGCACCACTTTTCGAAGTCGTGTCGTCGAGCGTCATCGTTTTCGCCGCCGCTGTCAACACTGAGGCGAGTATGCTCGTTATTTTGTTGCCACGCTACGGGAGCTAGTGTCGCATTGTTCGTTCGTTCCACAAGATTGCTCTCTGCGGAACGAATTCGTTGCTGGCCTAGCTTCCAACCGCGTATCTCTGCTGTTATCTCTTGAGAGCTCATCATTTTCGTCTGAGAGCTCGGTGCAAGTTCTGCTTCGAGCTGCAACACCCCCTGAACGCAATAGAGAGCACAGTAGGCGCTGCGCGTCGCCGCACTGTTTGTTATGTGTCTCGAAGGACCACCATGGTCGAATTGTGCGCGTCGCGAAACTTGGAACGAGAAGTGTCCTAAGCCTGTTGCCACAGGCATTGAACGCCCATCGAAGATCGAAGTGCGACCAGGTGAGGAGGAGCAAAAAAACCAAAAGCAACAACTAAATATATTTTTAACGCTATAGCGTTATTAGATCGTCTCGCAGAAATTCCTGCGTCAGCGTCATTGATTTTGAGCGAAAAAATTATACTTGCGTGGCGGAAAATTCAAGCATCTTTGCGTGACCGCAAGATTGAGACAGATGCAAATAAAAGAACGAAATTTCTGGGTATGAGTGGGAATCTAACCCGTGTCGTTTGCGCTAAAAGCAAATGTTCTACCACACAGCCACACGTCTGCTTGTAAACACATTGAAAATGAGTCTCTCTGCTTGGGAGTGCAGTGAAATTAACTTTCATGCTTTACCAAACTCACGCGTCCTGTGTACATGCTTTATAATACAAAATGAAACATTGCCGTAATAATTTGTATCACAATACTACGTCTTCACCGAGTGTCAGAACGTGGCATCATCACAACGACTTCATATTTTGAAGCCAGTCCATCACCCACTACAATAGGCACACGCGCCATTGCAACCTTAAGGCCACGTAGTGGGTGCATAGCATGTTCGAAAAGGTTTCATAGATTACGTGTGTCAAGCACGCACTATATGAATAGAATATCGCTACCACGTTCAACTCTTAAAGGGGCCCTGCAACACTTTTTGAGCATGGTCAGAAAACGGTGCTGATCGGTAGTAGAGGCTCCCGACAACACGTGAGCCAAATAATATAGCGAAGCACGTGGCCTGGAATTCCCAATAACTTATGAAAACCAGCTAAAAATTGCGCTCTCTTCTTTCCACAAATCACGGAATATGCTCGAAAACCACACGTAGCAAGCCCATCTATCAGCCATTAGCTCATTTGAACATAGCATGCTCGCTCGTAACAGAGATCGCCGCGGGAGGTCACTACTTGTCCACGCTTGCGCGTGCGATCACACTGAGAAAGCCGCGCACTCGAAGTACAAAAAAATAAAAATTGCTCAAGGTCACAAGGCGCGCGTGACGTTTTGCTGTGGCCCTGCCATCCCTCCCTGCTTGACTTCCGGCGCTTTCGTCAGGACGAAAGAAGAGAAAATGTAATTACAGCATGCGACAAACCTTTGCAACTCCACTCGCACCATCCATCGTCAGGGCATCTTGGCTTCCCGCGTACCCTGGCGCGGATCAAAGACAAATACTACTGGCGGAAACTTACGAAAACCGTCTGGCAGTACGTGAAGACATGCACAGCCTGTCAGCGCCGCAAAACTCCAACGACGAAACCAGCCGGTCTGCTTCAGCCTTTGCGACCCCCTCACGCACCTTTTGAAGAGGTCGGGATGAATTTACTCGGCCCATTTCCGAAGTCTACGGCTGGTAACCGCTGGATTGTGGTTGCCACGGACTACTTGGCCAGATACTGCGAAACACAAGCCGCCCAGCGAGCAACTGCTTCCGAGGTGGCTGACTTTTTCATCAAGAACATCGTTCTCTGCCATGGTGCTCCCGCTGTCGTCATCACAGATCGTGG